TAAGGAAAAGGGTTGTTTTGTTTTCTTTTTGGGGGTGTGGGTTATGTTTTTAGTTTAAATGAAATCTGCCAGAGAAGACAAAGACGGGAAGGGAGCCCCCTTTCTGTGACAAGCGCGCTGCGCTCCGCGTCCCCGCGAGCGGGTGGCTTTTGCGGGAGCTTCGGAACCGTTTGCTGCGGTCCATGTCGCCCGTCCCCCGCGTCCCGGTGAGACCGGGCTGCGTAGCCAGCAACCGAACGGCATCTCCAGAGAAAACCATTAAAAATGCAGCTTCCCGTGGAAAAGACAGCCACGCCCGTGTCTACTTATGTTTTACTGTTGAGTTTTAGAATGTTGGCATTCTTGCTATTGTAAGGCTTTTAAAAAAGGGGGCGGGGGGACCACTGCCCGAGGTGTTGTAAATGTAATGATCGGTATTTATGCCCTGGCCCTTCCTTCACTATAGGTTTGTTCAGTTCCCCAATATCTCAGCAGGCGTCTTCGTTTTATATTTCCATTGGCTTTTCTGTTGTAATAATAAGAAAAGTAGTTGCCAGGAGTGCAAAAAGAAGTGACAGCTTTGATATTTCCTGTGTGCCCACTTTTGCATCATTGTGGCTAAATACTTTTAGCTGATTCTTTTAAGTTCCTAATGAGCTGTAATTGTAGCCCTGGAATGAATACAAGTACATTTCTAGCTTACATATGGACTGAACTTCAAAAATGGTCAAAGTGGATTATCAGGTATATAGATGATCAGGAAATAGGTATTTTTGTGGGTGGGTGGAGTCAGAAACGGAGGCTCTGTTTTTTAAGGAATGTCTTGGCAATTGAAGACTTCTGAGTGTGCATTTCTCTGAAACATTGTAGAAATGAAAACAACGTTTCATTTCAGCCTTAATTTTGTCTAACATGTATAGTTTTGTTTTCTTGTTGAAGCTTAAATTTGTAGTTTAGTATGAGGGCTGCGGGTTTAAATTTATTGATTTACATTTTCTTAATTTGGGGGCAAGAATGTTAAGTAAAGTGTGTGTGTGTGGTGGTGGGCGGGGGGGAACCCCACTGCTTTGAAGACAGTAAAAACAGGGAACATATCTTTACCCTCCAAATGTCTGTTGCTATCAAGTATGACAGAGTTCTTGATTGCATTATCATTGCCTGAAGAAATAGGGCTATTTTTTAATGATTACTTAATAAAAACAAACTTGGTACCAAATAGATGATATTCATTACCTGATAATTTTCTTTGCCCAACTGAATGTGTTCTGTATAATAGTTTAAAATAAATATTTTTTAATGTTTGGAGAGCAGTATTTAAAAATTTGATATAACAGTAGGAGTCTATGTTTTAATAACTTTTCTCTTTTAACCCTAAAAAATAATCTTCCTGTAGTATAACTAAGATTTGGTATTGAATGTGTGCAAACAGTGCTGGATTCAGAAGATGGAGGTTCTAACCCTGGTTCTTTCACTGTACAGCCTTCTCTTTCTGTGGACAGATCACCTGCCTTCTTAGAATCTGTTTAATTGTGTGTAAAGTGGAGTACCTATCTCAAGATTTTTCTGAGAGGTACATGAAATAATGCATGTAAAACATTTTTGAATTATAAAGGGCTTTGTAAACACCAGTTATAATGGTTTCATTTCCTTTATTGACTATGTTCTGTAGAAAGTACTTTCTTAGATTATACTTGCATCAAATATGAAAAAGACTTTAATGTAACTCGTGTAAAAATCTCATATACACATCATATGACATTTTCACTTGACTGTGACATAATTTATACACAGAAATGAAACAAACATGCCTTTTCAGCCATAAAGGATACTAAATGTTGAAATTTGCAAACTGTTTTGTTCGCTTATCTTTATGTATCTCTTATATATATATTTTAAGGTTATTTTTCCTCTTAAATCCAGACTTTGTGGGAATTATGATATTAAAAGGTATTTATATAAAAACATGTTTTTTCAAAATAGAACTGGAATGATGTCATCATTTTGTTAATTTCTGAAGCAACATGATAGCATCTTAGTAGACTAAGGATTATGTCATATTAAGAATTTATGATTTTAACAAAAGATATGTAATTTTATTTTATAAAATAATACCCTTTTCTAGAGAAAAGGGTTACAAACTTAAAAGATGTTAAAATAGCATATATTGAAAAATTTAAAAATCAGTTTCACCTTTAAGTTCTAGGAGGCATCCATATATAATTATTCTAAAATGACATCTATTGTTGGTTAAGTTATATGAGAAAAGTACGCTTTTCTGTAGTTCATTAGTCATTTTCATTAATTTGTGCATTTTATGTCTTAAAGGAAGAGCACACTGCTGGTGAAATTATTGTAAATGACTGGAAGGACTTATATATAAACTACAAATACTTAAGTACTGTAAACCACTATTTGAATAATATTTACAGAGAGATAGATTCTGAAATCATATTTGGTTACACCTGGCAATAGTTTTCATGACAGTGTATCTTGATAGTCTTTCATATAACATTGAATTTATATCACTAAGTTAAATTGTCTAAATAAAAGATAACTGATTTCATTAAAACCTTCCAGCATTAGTAATTTTTAAGCCATTTTGAAATTAAGGTCTAACATAATGAGATGCTAATGACATTGTACTCATTCCTTTTTAAAATAGGTAAGATTCTTTTTTCTAAAGTGTGTTTTTCAGATTATAAAAATAATACCATTCTCCCAATCTCTAAGTTGTATAACAGTAATTATAGATACCTAGGTGATGAAATGGCAGCTATATCTGCCTTTAGATATGTTGTAGACTGAAAAATAATACAGACGTGATATTATTGATTGACCAAAATACTGTTGTTTGCATTTTTTTAAAAATATATTTTATTTTTTACAGAGAGGAAGGGAGAGGGATAGAGAGTTAGAAACATCGGTGAGAGAGAAACATTGATCAGTTACCTCCTGCACACTCCCCACTGGGGATGTGCCCGCAACCAAGGTACATGCCCTTGACCGGAATCGAACCTGGACCCTTGAGTCCGCAGGCCGATGCTCTATCCACTGAGCCAAACCGGTTAGGGCTGTTGTTTGCATTTTGTAGTAGTGCTCATAATTCATTGGTAGCATACTACCCAGTATTCATTTATATCAGATTAACTATGAGGCCTGTTCCTAAAATATTAGAAGTGTGTGTGTGTACTCCTTTAACTTGAAGTAAACATGGATAGCAATATCTTTTAATGCCAAGTTAAAGTAATTTGGCACACCCAGAAATATGGACTTTTTTTTTGGACACAGATATAATGTGTCAAGAAGATCAAAACCAATTATTATTTAGGGTAAACTATATTTAAAAGTAAAACACATGGAATTATGTGGTTATTATTATTTTTTTACAGTGTTAATTAAATTGAGTTTACCTTGATTATATCAGTTTGGAAGATATTGAAACATTTTTTTTTCTTTTTAAAGAAATAGATCCCAAAGGAAGACTTCCATTTGGTAATTTAATCAGTGCAAGTGAAATTAAAGAATAATGGATGTAGAAAATGAGCAGATACTGAATGTAAATTCTACAGGTAAGTATTCATATTTTGAACCTTGATTGTATTATGAGCAAGTTTCAGGCCATACCAAATTTTATGAATATATAATATTAAAACCGTCTTTACTTTAAAAACCATCTTATTCATGCTACAAGAAAATCGGTCATGTTATTTTTTAAGTCAAGTTTGTGATTCTTATTTTCATAGAAATTCATCACATGTCCTTATATTTCTGCCTATCTTTCCCATTCCATACTCTTATTCTACACTATCCTCCTATATAATAAAACCTTAATATGCAAATCGATTGAACGGTGGAATGACCAGTCCCTATGACATGCACTGACCACCAGGGGGCAGACGCTCAACGCAGGAACTGCTCTCTGGTGGTCAGTGTGCTCCCACAGGGGGAGCACTGCTCAGCCAGAAGCTGGGCTTACGGTTGGCGAGCACAGCAGTGGTGGCGGGAGCCTCAAGAGGGTGCAGGTTGGGCTGAGGGACCCCCACCCCCGCAGTGCATGAATGTCATGCACCGGGCCTCTAGTCTATACTAATAAAAGGGTAATATGCTAGTTAGACTTGGAGACCTTCTGGACTTCTGGACAAAAGCCATGGTGGCAGGGCTGAGGTAGAGGCGGTAGAG